TAAAGTTGTTTTTTTGTAAAGACATAACGGCACTGACATGACAACAAAGTTAGTTGCATAAAACGATTTTTGAAATTCCCAAGAATTTTTATAACTTTTTTTTCTTTAACATAAAATAGCGATCATGATTATTGTTATTGATTTTGTAATGTATTCTTATTATAGCGGAGCTCCCGCGCGGGCCGCGAGCGGAGCACCATAGCTAAGAAAAAATGGTATACCATCGAGTCGATTTTCCATGGACCGACACAGGGTTCCCGCGCGTACGCACGTTTCCTTCCTTCCTGGATTCCGTGTACCACCACAGGAAACCCATACTCCGCTCGAAAAGGAAACAAATTAAGCGCCAAATATTTGTTGAAAAATCGAAATTTTTTCCTTAAACATTTATATTACATATTGATAATATTAGAACAATTAATCGCAAGGAAAAAATCCACAGAAGAGCGAAATAACAGCACAGAAATATTCCCGCCAATTTTGTCATAGAGTTTTCTGTGGGTATGTGAAGGTCGAGTAGTCTGGGTTCAAACATCGATTATTGAAACAATGTTGATTATTGTAAGCTTATGTAGACTACTTTTTGCCGAGAAGCTTTCAGTTTACTTTTAATCAATTGACCTTTATAGATTATAATATTAAACTTCATCCAACGGAACAAATCTACCGAAGTCAGTCAATATTAGTACGAACTAAATTCTCATAAACATACTCTTTATAATATTTGTTCGCATGTCAACAAAACTGTTGTAGCTCACATTCTTAGAACAGAGCATCAACCTTTGAAAGAGCAGTACTAGATAATCATTTTCAGCTTCTATATTGCTATTGGAGCTCCGCTATTAGGTGTTACCTAATTTTTATACCTTTATGCTTAATATTCTTGCAAAATTTAAAAAATAAGATATTGACAAATGACTTTGTAGTTGTGTATGTCTTTACAAGTGAACAAAGTTAATGGGATCGACTATATAATACTACTCACAAAAAGTCGACTGACATTCATAAGATATTAGCTGGTATCAATCTCCATTCCGCGCAATCCCCTTCTATCTGAGTGGGATTTCCACATTCATAGAGCATAAATGAATAACAAAAAGTAAGATTTTGCTGGTGTTTTATTTACGATGTAATTCAACATAGTGATGAGGTTGTGACCTTTTTATAACGAGTAAAATTATTCTCAAAGGTGAGAGGTCTTTAAGTGGAGGGGAGAGGGGGCTAAGATCAAAATCTGTCAAAAAACAATATAATTCATATCAACATTTATTGGCAAACTCTGAGTAAGATTCGGTAACATTACTGGAAATATTTTCCAGAGCTGAAATTATACTCTCGATCGGCTTTTCCTTTTTCACTAATCTGATCTTCTATGTTCCTTAGCATCCAGACGATGTGCGCACTACGACCGCAATGCATTATTTTCTTCACATTCCTGGCCTCTATGAAAAACATGGCGGATCAAGTCGCAAGAAGGGTACCCTGGTCCCAGAGGTTTGATATTTTCTCTCTTCGCTATTGTTTTTGTCGAGGCCGTAAGGCCGAGCGAAAATCAAACATCTGGTAGGAGTCGGTTGGAATCTCACTTCCATGCTACACTAATCCAATTAAAAAGAAACCAATCAAATAACAGTACCACGCTGAGAATTTTGAACGTAGTGAGGGGAGATTAAAACAGTCAAAACTACTTTTGGGGTAGTACAGAGTATGTTTTGTCGATCACGCACGTGTGTTTACATCGACGTGACAGAATAGTGTTCGCATCAAGGGCGCTAGAACTGAAATTATGACTTATAAGATCCACAAATTGCTTAATTTATCCAACATAAGATAGGTCGAACTCAGCCAGGGCAAAGTGATTTTAATCCGGTTAATGAATAACGTTCCTGGCGAGACAGCAGTGGCTGGTACAACAAGGACAGCGGCAATAAATTCAGCAACAACCGCTTGAGTATTAACGATCACTTGGATGAATTTCGTAAAATCAAGTGCTTTTAAGTGTCTAAGAGGACATTTCAGTGTATATTTCAGATAAGTAAAACTTTACAATTTATTATCGACTATCTTATGTTGGATAAATTAAGCAATTTTTGGATCTTATAAGTCATAATTTCAGTTCTAGCGCCCTTGTTCGCATGCTGTACGAGATGGCAAATATAAGTGATCTCAAAAATACCCCGGTAAAAAGTGCTCGCACACATCTATCAAAAGTATGCCGGCATTACCCTAATAAGCATTGCATCTAGAAGACAAAGAATACATCTGTTTGGGCCAAAATCGCGTAACGAAAATCTACAACTCTTCCACTGAAAATCTACGCGACGAAATATATTTGATGTAGTGCCGATTCTCGGCACTTACATTACAACTAAGGTGAGAAACTTTTCCTTGCTTTTTGCAATTCTTCGACATTTGGCTTTTTAAATCATTTTGTATCTCATAGTCTACTCCCTGGACTGGACTTAAATAAAGAAAACGTAAAACACTACTTCTGCTTAAACTCAAACTATCACGCGATAATAACAATTCTATTTGACCTTTCTCAGTACCAGGTCCGTTTGTATTTATCCTTCAGATATGAAGAAAAGACCGATAAAGGACGAAACCGATGCAAAAATAATTCGACAACTAATATTAAGGAATATTAAGGACTTTCCATGCTCAGTCGGCAAAATGGCGAACACATCTTTCCTGTTGATCAAGTTTAAAACAATGCTACTTTCTGCTCCTCCGATAATGACTCCATATTGTCAAATCGGTATTCGAGAGCTATTGATGTAATCTGGTCAAAAACAACTTCTGATACTAAAGAATTCATCGTAAAAGAGCAATACTTCAAGTCGAGAATCTGTTTATATCTCTATATCCCTTGGGACATGACAAATAGCAACAAAATCTCCTCCTCCCCACCCATGTAACAAAGCTAATCGACCAAGAGATTAAAAATTGGCTAATCAGTGAGACGGAACAAATTTACGAAATCTGTAATCTTATTGGTGCGGCCAGATCGATAATCCAACCGACTCCTACCAGAGGTTTGATTTTCGTTCGGCCTTAAGGCCTCGATTACGGCGCTTCGCGCCGACAAAAACAATAGCGAAGAGAGAAAATATCAAACCTCTGGGACCAGGGTACAAGAAGGGTGAGTTTAAAACTAAGATTTGTTCGTTATTAGTCGGACTAGCCGAAGGCGGTCCGACTTTAAATTTACCTTTTAGCCAATCTATCTATCTATGTGTCATGTCGCGTTTGGACCACCGGAAGTTAAGAATTTAATAATTAAATATTGGGTTGGCTGTGTTATTACATGACCGGAAGCTCAAGCGTATTGATGTACGAATATCGCTAGTAAATGTTATATGCTACTTGGCTTTTATATGACAAAAAAACTATTCGTTTACAAATGTGGTATCTGTGATCTCATCGGAATGCGTCTGTCTAGGCATTAGAAGTACGCGCATGTGCAGATCGCATAGAGTTTCGAGTTGTATGCTTACAAAACTGAATCAATATCCTTTCTAGTGTTAGACAGTCTTGTGGGGGCAAAGATTTCAAATTAGAACAAGAAGAAACTTTGTTTATCAATAACAGAAAGGCGAATTTAATGATTTTATAGGCATCTTTTTCCTTGTAAAGTTTTTATTTTCTTTGCCTGAGAGGTCAACGTTTTAGATATCATATATCACTTAGCGAGACATTTGTCTGAGCTAGTTGATGTTATCAGT